GACATAGTGGCACACACTGTGATCTCAGCACTATGGAGGCTGAAGCAGGAGGATTGCCTTGCGTTTGAGGCTGGCCTAGGCTACAGAGTGGAAAACTCTCAAAAAAAAAAAAAAAAAAACAGGTGTGGGAGGCAGAAGCAAACAGATCTTTGTGAATCTGAGACCAGCTAGAGCTTCATATTGAGATTATGTCTCAAAAAAATTTTTTTTAGTTTTTTAAAAATTGCCAAGGCCAGACAAGGTGGTCCATGCCTTTAATCCTAGCCCACAGGAGGCAGAAGCAAGAGGATCTCTGTGAGATTAAGGACAGCCTGGTCTACATATCAAGTTCCAGACCAGCTGGAAATACAGGGAGACCCAAAAACAATAAGAAAAAAATGGCCAAAATGGGAAAAACATCACTTTATGGGGCTAGAATACAGATAAAAGCCAATTATACATCTTATCCAACTACCTTTCTTCAAAGATTTGTGTGTGGGTGTGTGCATGTGCGCGCACGCCCACTGAGGTTAGAAGAGGTCATCAATCCCCTGGACCTTAAGTTTAAGGTGGTTGTGGATACTGGAAGCTAAATTCTGGTCCTCTACAAGAGCAGGAAGGGCTTTTACCTGTGGAGCCATCTCTCCAGCCCTCCAAGTATCTTTTCGTGTATCTATTTTGTATCCATTTGAGCAAATTTCAATTATATTTCATTAGTTTTTAAAAATTTTTAAATATTTTCACTTTATATATATGCGTGTATTGCCGCACGTAGTTAAGTGCACCTGTGTTGTGCAGTGCCCTCAGAGGACAGAAGAGGCTGTTAGATCCCCTGGAACTGGAGTTATGGACAGTTGTTAGCTGCTATGTGACCAAACCCGGGTCTTCTGCAAGAACAGTCAGTGTTCTTAACCGCTGAGCCATCTCTCCAGCCCCTCATTAGGAGTTTTAAGTTTATATCCTTTGATAGAATTCCATTTGTTCAAACTCATGTCTCTGCTGTGTGGTGGTGCAAGCTTATAATCTCAGTACTGTACATAGTGAGTTCAAGGCCAGCCTGAGCTACATGAGACCTTATATCAAAAAATAAAAAATAGGGCCGGCAAGGTGGGTGGGCTAGTGAAGGTGCTTGCTGGAAAGGACAACCTGAGTTAGATCCCCAGAACCCACATAGTAGAAGGAGAGAAACAACTCCTGAAAACCTGGCCTCTACAGACACTCCATGGCACTTATGCGCACACAAATGGAGGCTGGAGAAATGGCCCAGTGTGTTTTTTTTTTTTTTTTGTATTTTATGTGTATGACTGTTTTGCCTGAATATAAGTATACCATGTTTATGCAGAGTTCATGGAGGCCAGAAGAGGGCAGTGTCAATCCCCTGGAAACTGGAGTTTTAGTTGGTTGTGAGCTGCCATATGGGTACTAGGAACTGAACCTAGGTCCACTGCAAGAATAGCAAGTACTCTTAACTGGTGACCTATTTTTCCCGCTCCCCCCCACCCCACCATGTTTAAGAGTGCTTGCTGCTCTTGCAGAGGACAAGAAATTAGGAAGTAGAGGTAGGAGGATTGGGTGTTCTCAGAAATTCTTGGTTTGCAGCCATATCACTGCAGTCTGTCTTCCTTTATACCTGGCCTTCTTCCCTGTTGTTTGTGTCTAAGTTTCCTTCTTGGGCCTAGAACATAGCACTTGGGGGAGGTGGAGGCAGGATTATCAGGAGTTCAAAGTCATCATTGTCTATATAGTGAGCTATGGCTATGTGAGCCCATGTCACAATAAATACCCCCACCTACACAGATACATGTTTTGAGACAGGGTCTTAATTGCATAACCCTGGCTGGCTTGAACCTTCTATATAGACCAGGCTGATCTCAAACTCACAAAGATCTGCCTGCCTCTGCCTCTGGAGTGCTAGGATTAAAGGCGTGTACCATCGTGCTCAGCTCCCTCTTTTTATAATGACACTATCCATTGTATTACAGTTTATCCTTCCAGTACAAATTTACTATAACTTGATTAAATGTGCAAAGGCCCTGTTTCCAAATAACACATTTACAGATTCTGGGTGCACATGAATTTGGGGAGGGCAGTATTCAAAAAATGCAGAAACCATCATTTAAATCCTACAGGAGTTAGAGGGTATAGCTCAGTTGTATAGTTTATGCTTGGTATGTGGGAGGCCCTAGGCTCAATCCCCAGTACCAACAAAACAAAGTAAAAAAGTGAACATAACTTTGCACAACACGGGTACACTTACCTACATGCAGGCAATACACACATAAAATAAAAATAAATAAATAAAATTTTTTAAAAAGGCAGAGGCAGGCGGATCTCTGTTGAGTTCAAGGCCAGCCTGGTCTACATAGTGAGTTCCAGGACATCTGGGGCTACAGGGAGACCCTGTCTCAAAAAGACCAAAAAAAAAAAAAGTTAAAAGTGAACATAACTACCACTGTCTAGATTCTGCCATTGACATTTTAGTATATGTGCCTTTTCACACACCTATCTCTCTACAGTCCTCTCTTCCCATTTTATTTTTGGTGTATTTAAAGTATGTTTCAGATATCAGTTCATTTTCTCCTCAATTAATCAGCATATATATCCAATAGAAAAGTTCAAGATTTGGTTGTACTTATTTTGTTGTAGCTTTTTTACATTTTTTTGCAGTGCTAGAAGAATGAACTTAAGTTTGTAATGATGATTACTGGTCCAAGAAAGAAAAAAATGACACAGAAGCCAACATTGGTGACTCGAATCTGTAATCCTAGCACTTGGGAGTCTGAGGCAGAGAGGTACATAGTGAGTTTCCTACATACCATGATCCTGCTTCAAAACAAACAAAAAAAGGAAAATAGGAGTCTCCGAATTAGTTTGCAACTGTGACTTCCATTTTTCTGACCTATAGGACCATCTTCTCAAGCCGTGTCTCCTCTAAGTTACATTGGAATTGACTGCTTTTGCCAAAGTTGGCAAATGTTGATAAGAAACAGTTTTAGCTGGGCATGGTGGTGCAGGCAGGCCTTTAGTCTCAGCACTCGGGAGGCAAACAGATCTCTGTGAGTTCAAGGCCAGCCTGGTCTACATAGCAAGTTCCAGGCCAGCTGGGGCTACAGGGAGATCCTGTCCCCAAAAGACCAAAAAATAAAACAACAAAAAAACAGTTTTGCCCTTACAGTATTAGTTGCATGTTAGTTGTAGGGGACACTGACATTGTTACTCATGTTGTCTTTGAGCCCTTGAGCACACACTTTCCTCTGAGTTTTCCTCTCATCCAAGATGCTGCTTCTATTTTCTGGACCCTCCATCCTGCCCATTTTAAGTGTTGGTGTTTCTCTGGATGATACCCTGGGTTGTCCTGTCACTCTAAGGAATTGCCTTCTCTTATCTGTACCAGGGAGGGGCTATGTGCAGAAAAAGCTTTTGAGTCTTGCAGTTTTAAGCAGAAAGACTGAAACAGGAAGGGATTCAGAAGGACCGCTCCGCCCAGCTGAGCCGGAGGTGGGGGGGGCGGCCGGTAGCTCGAGCTCCCGCCTTATTTCTCACAAGGAGCGTGCGCGAGTGGAGACACGTACAGCCAACCAGTGAAAAGGGGTGGTCGTGAGTGCCATGCTCTTGGTCCAATCATAGACGAATATTGGAGAATGCCCTCCCTCCCCTGCCAATGGAGGGGCGGGGCTCGGGTGGAGGCGACAGTCATCTGATCTGAGGCGGCCTCCACGGTCTAGGCACTGAAAGCTGAGGCTATGATGGCTGCGACAGTACTATCTCAGATGTGGACCAGGACGCGCCTGTGGCTGCCGCTGTGCCTGGTGGCGGTGGCGGCGGCGGTGTCCGCGGAGCAGCAGGTGCCACTGGTATTGTGGTCAAGTGACCGGTGAGCAGGTCGGGTCGGGCCGGGTTGGGTTGGGGCGGGCCGCACTGCGTGCCGCGACTACTGAGCCGCCATCGCCAAACTCCAAGGCTGTCCTCCTCGGCGAGGGGCTGAGAGGCCCAGATGGAAGCTGTCCCTTGCTTGGGGGTTGGCTCCACAACGACAGACATCGGACATTAGAGCTCCGGGCCCGCCCGTGCGGGAAGCCGGCCACTCAAGGGCTTGGAATCTCAAGCCGAGTGCCCTGTATTACAGCACTCTTATGTCCCCTGCCAGGGACCTGTGGGCTCCTGTGGCCGACACTCACGAGGGCCATATCACCAGCGACATGCAGCTTTCCACCTACTTAGACCCCGCCCTGGAGCTAGGCCCCCGGAATGTGCTGCTGTTCCTGCAGGACAAGGTGAGCCTGGCCCAGCCTGCTCTGTCCTGGTCGGTGCAAGGCAAGCAGACCCCACCCCACTCCCCACTGCTCCTTCCCCAGGTGAAGCTGTAGTGCCTTTGTCCCAACTGTAGGCAGGTGTGACTATATTCTTGGGAAGATGAGTAGGAGAAACTTCACTGGGAATGGTGAACCCCCAGAAATGGCACAGACTTGAATGGAAGAGAGCAAGGGGTCAGAGATAAGATACCAATCAAGAACTAAGCACTAGATATTTGCTGATGTCCTCTAGTATGCTGGGGATTGTTACATACTTTCATAGATGATAAGACTCATTCTAGGGGAAGATCAGTGACTTGCCCAAGGTCACATAGCTAATGGTTGGCAGAACTGTAATTCCTGTCATGATCATAATAGGAATAACTGGAAAATTACCCCTTATTTAGTGCTATATATGCACTGTGTTCAACTGATGTCATTATCTTGGTTTTACCGCTAAGGAAAATAAGGTTGGAGAGATGTAATGATGTGCTGAAGGTCCAGGTTTGGAGACAGCATACCACACTGGTACCGGCTTCGGTGTAGACCTGCTCCCCAGTTTTGTGTGCAGAGCCAGCATGCTATTTTCTCTTCCTCCCAAGCCCATGCCCCCAAAGCAGGAGTATGGTCTATGAGAAGGTTTAGGGAAGCATAAGGTCGTTCAGGAGGCTGTCAAGTCTTCGCTTGTTCCTCCTTAGTGGTCTGGCTGGCTCATTCTTTTTGTGGCTTTGCTCTGTGCTGTGTAGCTGTTGGTGGTGATTATGCTGGCTGATAGTCCATCCAGAAGGAGATAAATAATAGGTCAGACTGGAAGGAACTCAGTCCTATTCCTACCACTTTTTAGCTTTTGGACACATGAAATAATTTTTGTAAACCATACTTTCTGCAAGCATAAAATGAAGATACCACCTACATCAGAAGACTTCGAGAAGTAATCTACATAAAACAACTAGCCAGGGTACCCTACTCTTAGGAAATTCCCTTCATTTATTTGTTTACTGATGTAATAGGAAATTGACATTCTTGTGAGGGCTAGATTGGTTCATAATAACACATTAGTGGTTTAGTCTAGAAAAGGAAGCAGGCCAAGATAACAGAGTGGGAACATTGTTTTAGATCACAGTGATCAGGCAGGGTCTCATTTAGGAGGTAACATCATGGTGGCTGGAGAAAGTCACGTGGCTTTGGTGGAGGGACATTACTGGCAAGAGAATAGCTGGTCTGAGGGCCCTGGGCAAGGGATTGCTCTTGTTGTGTCCATGGGAGTTCTGGTATGACTGGAGCCTACTGAGTGACTAGAAGGGGTAGGAGATGGTCTGCTAGGTCACCAGGAGATAAGGGAGATGCCACAAAGAGAAAGGTTGGTGGCAGTTCTGAGTATACAAAGCGCAGCACTAGAATGAAGAGGGAGAGGAGGCTGGGCTTATGTATACTAAACACTACTGCGTTTAGGGAAACTGGTCAAATTGCCCATGGACCTACTGGATGAAACCAGAGGAAGCTGGTAGGGGGTGGGGGGGTGGAGAAAGGGCTTATGTAGGTTATAGAGGGAACGGCATGAGTTTGCAGTTACTGGGGTCCTGAAAGACCCCAGTGTTTCCTCCAGTGTGGGTTCCACTATCTTCTCCCCCCTCCCATCTGAAAATGGTAGGGCAAAGACTTCTTGTAAAGGATCCTGTCTAGGCTGGATGTGGTGGTACACACCTTTAATCCCTACACTTTGAAGGCAGAGGCAGCTGGGGCTACACAGAGGAAGACCCTGTCTCAAAAAACAACAAAAAAATCCTGTGCCGACTGAACATAGAATGTTCTACTTTTCTCTGACTTCCACTTCCCTCTTGGGAGGCATGCTATAAATGCTCTTGCCTGTTCCCCTCCCCTCCATCAGCTTCCTTCTTCCTCAGTTCCTCTTGCTTGGCTACTGCTTGCTAGGTTACCACAAGCCAACTGCCCATAGATCCCCTAGCCCATGACCACCCACTGTGTTTGTTACCCTGTCCTGAGAGTGCTGGAGGAAAGCATGAGCTTTCCACTCCACCTACCACTCGTGGTGATTCATTCTCCTTCCCCACATCAAATCTGACTCTTAAGGTTTTGTTGGCTGTGAGACTGCACATGCCCCCTGCCCTGGCCCCTGCCTCTGTTCCTTGCCCAGTCTCCTGAGGTATTTCCTCTGTTTTCTTATTAGCTAAGCATTGAGGATTTCACAGCATATGGTGGTGTGTTTGGAAATAAGCAGGACAGCGCCTTTTCTAACCTGGAGGTAAGAGTCTGCTCACAGCCTGGGCCATTGGAACAGATCATACATCCTGTGCCTCTTTCCCAGCTCTCTCTAGGACCACAGGTGTCGGCTTTGAGGGTAAAGGGTCTGGGGTATCAGTGTCAGGGTCTAGGGGTGTGGGACATTTACTTTCTGATCCATTGTAAGAGCCCTGTGAGATGTGGCTTGCCAGGAAGGTTTGAGGGTTACCACAGGCCCACTGTTCCCTGGTTCACTTTGTCTTCCACCTCTCCCTACCACCAGAATGCCCTAGATTTGGCTCCCTCCTCCCTGGTGCTTCCCGCTGTGGACTGGTATGCAGTCAGCACTCTGACCAGCTACCTGCAGGAGAAACTTGGGGCTAGCCCTCTACATGTGGATCTAGCTACCCTAAGGGAGCTCAAGCTCAATGCCAGCCTCCCTGCCCTGCTGCTCATACGCCTGCCCTATACAGCCAGGTAAAGCCTGGGTGACTGAGCCTGTCTGCAAAGTGGGGAAAAGGGGATGGGATTCCAGGTAGGAGCCCTGAGTCAAGTACAGGTGCAGGGGTGGGGGGCTGCTGAGCTCAGCCCTGCATGGCTGACAGCAACAGCTGAAGTGCACAGGTGTGGTGAGTGAGGCTAGTGGGAGATAGAGGGGCAGTGGGAAGGGTGGTGCGTTTCAGAAAGCTGCTCCAGGCCAGCTGTTTGGACTTGAAAGCAGAGCAACCTGAGAGCATCTCATACTGTCTTATACACAGCTCTGGTCTGATGGCGCCCAGGGAGGTCCTCACAGGCAATGGTAAGTGTGACCACACAAAGAAAGCTGCTTCTTCCTTACTATAAGGGTGGTCCTGTTTCTCAGAGTGCTTGACAGCTGGGCAGGGAAATAGTGGCTCCCTGGCCATGCTCCTCTGTAGCCAGCTCCACTTGGCAGAGATGTCCAAGTACCTTAGGTGGCTCCCTGTGCAATAGCCCAGGGATCTAGTTTCTTCTCAGGCCTAGTATATCCAGATTTTGGATTTAATAGACCAGTAACCTTAATCAAAACAATAAAGAGGACTTACCTTTGTGATAAAGAACAGTCCATCTGCATGGAAAGATAGCTAGATAGATATGATGCTTTCTATATCACTGTATATTTTCTTGTTTGACTTAGCTTGGGCTTGGCATTAGAGAGTCTATGATTGAAGCCAATTGTCCCCAGAGAAGCTGGCAGAGCAGGGGGGAAGAAAAATAGCTGTGCTTAGGGGTCCTCAATGCTTTTTCCATGATCTAGATGCTCTCTAGAGCAGACAGTGGGGAGTGTTTCTTTAAGTAGGCTACCTGGTGACTCTGCTTTCCTGTCAACCTTCAGATGAAGTCATTGGGCAGGTACTGAGCACACTCAAGTCTGAAGATGTCCCTTACACCGCAGCTCTTACAGCAGTCCGCCCTTCCAGGGTATGTGCTCTTCCAATAGGGGATCTGGGGCATGGAGGGTGGCACAGAGTGGTGAGTCTGCTCACCACTTGGAGGTGCGGGGTATGTCACAGATAGGGCCTCCCAGGAGTCCCTGGCTTGGGGGATTGGTGGGCAGAACACTGCTTCCTTTATCAAGAGGCTGCTTTCCATCTTGCTTGTGAACCTTGTGGGCGGTATGTGAATTTGGTGTAAGTGAACCCAAGTTTAGGGAGATGGAATATCAGGGCTAGCAGTACTGGAGGAAGGGCCTCCTTTTATCCACAGGACTTTCAGATGGTGGATAGAGTACCCCGTGGGAAGGGTGGCCATGGCAGTGGATTAGGCCTTGCTCTCAGGGCTGTTAAGAAAAGGTTTGTTGGGTGTTTCTGCAGGTGGCCCGTGATGTAGCCATGGTAGCTGGGGGTCTAGGTCGCCAGCTGCTTCAAACCCAGATGGCAGTACTTCCGGTCCATCCTCCTGTGAGTTACAATGAGACTGTCCCACGGATCCTGTTCTGGGCACAAAACTTCTCTGTGGCATACAGAGATGAGTGGAAAGATTTGACCCACCTCACCTTTGGTATACAGAATCTCAACCTGACTGGCTCCTTCTGGAATGACTCCTTTGCCAGGTAAGGATACTAGTTGGTGGTAGACTTTGCCACCACACATGGCCTTCCTGCCCCTGTGGCACCAGGACAGAGCAGGGAGCTGGGATAAGGTATGTGTGTTTGGAGTAAAGGTCTTATGGGGGAGGGCAGGGTCACCAGGGAGATGGAGGTACTATCACAGGGTGATGGTGCTGGGAGGCTACTGGAGGGGGAGCCTCTCAGTTCTACCTGCCCATGCTTTCTAGAAAGGCCTTGGTTGGAACCTGAGTTATTAACACTACACAATCACCTGGGAACCTGGCCCTTCTTTGAGCACAACCTCTGGGACTACATGTGGGCAAATACCAGACCAGCTGCTGGAACCAGTTCTAGGGCTTCTGTAGACTCCTGTTTGCCCTTACTCCCAAAAAACCTAAACAGGCAGCTGAGTAGCCCCCAGAGGAAGGCCAAAAGGAGGGCCAGGGGATGCAGGAGAACCAGAGGAAGGACTCATAAACTGGAGTTACGAGACCTGGGTGCTGTTCCTGATTTGGTTATGACTGCAACCTCAGTTTTCTCATTTGCTAAGTGGGGACACTGTTGGCAGGTGACTGTGAGAGTCTAGGCAGGTTAAGTAGGAGCTGTCCTAAGGAGGAACTTGCTTAGGGTTTTTCCAGAACCTGATAGCCACCCCCTTTGCCTTGTCCCACAGGCTCTCATTGACCTACGAACAGCTCTTTGGTACAACAGTGACATTCAAGTGAGTTTTGGGGATGACTGAGGTATGGTTGGGTTGCTGTGGCTTTTCTGTTCATCTGACATATCTCTCACCCTCACTTCCCAGTTTCATTCTGGCTAATCGCTTCTACCCAGTCTCTGCTCTATACTGGTTTACCATGGAGCGCCTGGAAATCCACAGCAATGGCTCTGTTGTGTATTTCAATGTTTCTGAGGTCACGGGGCCCAGCATCTACTCCTTCCACTGTGAGTACGTCAGCAGTCTTAGCAACAAGGGCAATCTCCTCGTGACCAACGTGCCCTCACTCTGGGAGATGACGCTTCAGGATTTCCAGGTATGGAAAGTGGGAAGGGCCCCAGGCTGGTGACAGCAATGGTGAGGGGAAGGAGGCTCCCGAGAGTCTCAGTATGGCTTGGGCATGTGGTTGAGAGCCGTATCCTTGTGCAGTTTCTAAGGGTATAGACTGTCTACTGATTCCAGAACCCCAGTCCTTGCTGTCTGTATAGGGCCTCATGGTTCCTTCTGACTCATGTCCATGTGTCTCTCAGATTCAGGCCTTCAATGTGACGGGTGAACAGTTCTCCTATGCTAGCGACTGTGCTGGCTTCTTCTCCCCGGGCATCTGGATGGGACTGCTCACTTCCCTCTTCATGCTTTTCATCTTCACCTACGGCCTGCACATGATACTCAGCCTCAAGACTATGGATCGTTTTGATGACCACAAAGGCTCCACCATCTCTTTGACCCAGATTGTGTGACCACTGCCAGAGAGGGATTGAGGGAGTATTGGTGTCTGAGTTGTCATGATCCTGTCTTATGGCACAGTGGACAGAAGAGCTTCCCCCTCTTCCTACTTATAGCATGAACCCTACACTACCCTCCACTTGTCTTGTTTCCTCTTCAACTTTCTGAGGGGCTTTCCTGGGGCTATCCCCCATCTCTCCCAACAAGGTGTATTTATTCTTTATAGATATTAGATAAATTTTCCAGGGTCTGTCATCATGAGAACAAGGGACATTAGCTCTAGGGTCCCCTTTCTTCCCCTTTTCCTTATTTATTCTTGCCCCTCCACCATAATCTCTTGCTGTTTATAGTGCTTTTTTGTGTAGATACTCCCTTCCTGAGCTCTCCGGAGCTCCCTCCAACAGCCACAGCTTGAGTTTGGGAGTGTGTAAAAAGACTACTCAACTGTCTGCCCAGCTTGGCTGTCATGGTTTTTTTTGGGTGATGTTAAGAATAAGCAGTACCCTGGGGCCTCCACGTGGGCAGGTGGGCTCACTGGGTTTCTAACTGGTTCCCACTAGGCGTGGCTGTCAGGAGCCCAGGGTACTCTGTGCTTTCCTTCGTAATAAAATAAAGACGGGCTGCCATGCGCTGGGCTTTCTGTCGTTTATTTCTGCACTGGGCATTCATGGGTTTGCCCTCAGCTATGGGGAAGAGGTTCCCGGATGTAGTTCAGTCGGGCGGGAGGTGAGAAGGGAAGCCTGGGAGGGCCTTAAACAAGCTGACGCTGTAGGGAGTGAAGGCAGAGGCTGTTGTGCTGCGGGGTCTTCGGATTAGGTATTCCCGACAATGGCACCCCTCCCCCCGCCCGCTGCGCAGCGCCGGGCTAGATGGACGCCCTGATTCTCCTAGGGGGACGGAATGGGTGCGTACGAGGTGGGGCGGGGCGGGGCAGAGGCGGAGCGCGCAAGGATCCTTCACTGACTAAGCACTTGCCCTCCCGTGTCGTCGTCGTCCCCCCCCCACTCCGGCCCCGCCCCGCAGTTGTCTGCGCTCTGGGGGAGCAGCATTGCCGCCCGAGTCGCGCCGCTGCTGGAAGCCAGGCGCTGGCAGCCGTCCTGGAAAACGAGCGGGAAAATCCTTGTTTTCAGCCGGGTGTGAAGGGGTGCGGGTAGGGAGAGGGACTCTTTGGCGTGGCGGAGGGATCGGAGACAGCCGAGAGTCGCCATCTTTGGTTCAGTGCGGCGGCGGCGGCGGCGGCGGCGGCAGCGGCGGCAGCAGCGGCAGCAGCAGCGGCGGCAGTGGCTGCTGTGGTGAAGTAGGAGGAGGAGCCGAGTGGGCGCTGGCACCAAGGCCTGACCATGGACGAGGAATACGATGTGATCGTGCTGGGGACTGGCCTTACCGTAAGTGCCACTCCAGGTGCTCGTGGCCTTGCATCATGCCCTCCCCACCCCTCGCGGTGATGCAGCCCCTCCCCAACCGTCTGACCCATCCTCCCATCACTTCGGGTCCGGAAAAATCAGCCCCATGCCCACCCCACTACCTTCCCCCATGATGTAGACTCGACTCCGCTGCCATGTACCCTTCTCCCTGCCATGTCCCCTCCTGTGTGTACCCCACATCCCAGGTCTTGACCTCAGGGACCCTCTGCCTTGTGTCTTCCCCTATCTTATGTTGCTGAACTGGAAAAAGCCCCCTCCCACACTCTGCCTGATGCCCCCAACCCCCACTCATCGCCTGCACATCACCCTGTCATCATCGCTGCCGAGCATCCCCTCCCATTTTGTGCTCATCTCACTACTCAATAGGGGATGAAGTACGAATGTATGCGTATGGGGGCTTTCCAAGGGTGGGCCCTCATCCTGCTTCTCTGACTTTTGGGGGGTACAGGGGACTCAGAGAATATTCCAGAAGCAGCAGCAGTGGAGGCAGTGATCACATTCCCGCTACCCCACCCCGGTTTCCCATGGAGACTTCGGGCTGACTAGTATCTGCAGCCTTTGTCCTTGGGCTAGTGACAGTGACTGGTGAGGCTGTATATGTTCCCTCCCTTCTATCAAACGCTGTTGGCTTGCTTCCTGAGTCTGGACCAGGTGGGTAGGACCCGAGGAGTTAGGGCCTCCTGCCCTTTGAAAGAGGAGTAGCCCAGGGTGGGGCCTGTGATTTCAAGGATTGGCCCGATCTTCACTTCCTTTTATATGCCCGTTGAGGTTCATCGATTCTTCTCTAGGGCTCTTTGTGTCTTATCTTTTTGTGGGATCAGCACAGATAGACACTATCTTGCCAGATTGATGCTAGAAGACTGTCCTTGGGTCTGCTGGATGCTCTGCCTCCCTCAAAGCTTCCCTTACTGCTCTAGTGAGTGGTTCACCTTTTTGCCCAGTAGGGTTATAAAGGAAACATCACATTAAGCCATCAACACCCCCCCCCAGTTTTAGGAACTGCAAGGAGCCAGGGCTTTGCATTGTGGCATTTGTGGCAGCTCTGAGGCAAGGGACAAATCAGGGGTGTTGGTAGGAAGTGGAAGCATAGCAGCAATGCCGCCCCTCCCCCAGGAATGCATCCTGTCGGGCATCATGTCTGTGAATGGAAAGAAGGTGCTGCACATGGACCGGAACCCCTATTATGGGGGTGAGAGCTCCTCCATCACACCCCTGGAAGAGGTAAGTCTGCCTGGACTGGGCCTCAGAGCCAGACCCATCCTTTGGCCTGTCTCTCACATAGGGGCATAGCATCAAAGTAGCTCCTAGGTCCTGAGCCAGAAGGGTGGGAGAGGATTGGGTCATCCTTGACCTTTTCTTCCTGTCTTGCTTACAGCTATATAAGCGCTTTCAGTTGTTGGAGGGGCCTCCTGAGTCGATGGGCCGAGGACGAGACTGGAACGTTGACTTGATCCCCAAATTTCTCATGGCTAATGGTGAGGGAAATGAAGGAGATAATGTGTGCAGTGTGATTGGGAAGACAGGAGGGTCAGGCTCCAGAGTAAAGTGGGCCAAACCACTGAGCTGCTGGAGGGAGCCACACTGATGTCTTCTCCCCACAGGTCAGCTGGTAAAGATGCTTCTGTATACGGAAGTGACTCGATACTTGGACTTCAAAGTGGTTGAGGGCAGCTTTGTGTACAAGGGGGGCAAGATCTACAAAGTGCCATCCACTGAGACTGAGGCCTTGGCTTCTAGTGAGTATGGATGGATCCTTTTAGCCAGAGGAGGAGGCAGACTGTTCTTGGGACAGGTGAAAAAGATAGCTAGCTATTCAGAGCAGGCCACCCCTTTGCCTAAGCTTAAACTTAACCCATGTAGTACCAGAGGCCCCTTGCTTTGTAGTCCCTCTGTTGCACCATGCTATCCATATGGCAGGTTGCCAGGAAGGGAACTCACACAAAGAGCATGGAGCATAGGATATGGAGGGTAATTCCTTTTGGCAGAGAGCCCACTTGACCCCCAAAACACCTCCAAGTGGAGCTGGGAAGGTCTTTTCCTAAAAATGGGAAAACAGGCCAAGAAGGGTGGGGCAAGGCTAGCCTCAGGTGAGACAGCTCAGATGAGAGCTAGGGCATCTGCTTTCTTGGACTGTCTGGGTGGGAAGCAGGAGTTTTAAGTTCCAACAATGCAAAGGGCTCCCCTCCTCAGATTTGATGGGCATGTTTGAAAAACGGCGCTTCCGCAAGTTCCTGGTGTTTGTGGCAAACTTTGATGAGAATGACCCCAAAACCTTCGAGGGAGTCGACCCTCAGACCACCAGCATGCGTGATGTCTACAGGAAGTTTGACTTGGGTCAGGATGTCATTGACTTCACTGGCCATGCCCTGGCTCTCTACCGTACTGATGAGTGAGTGGAAGCTGGCCCACGGTAGTGGGAGCCCCCTTGCCTGGCCCATATCCTGCCCTCCCTACACCTATTAGACCCTCTGCACACCCTGCATGTCCTTTGTACTCAACCGTGTCTCACCTGCCGCTTTTCCTTCTTTCTCCTGCATTTGACCTAAGCTTTTCCCAGGCCGCAGAGGGTGTTGGGAAGGCTAGCTAATATCTGGGTAGGTGAGCAGGGGGGTTGTTGTCAGATCATCTTAACCTGGCCCCTGTCCCCTAGCTACCTGGATCAGCCCTGTCTTGAGACTATTAACCGCATCAAGTTGTACAGCGAGTCCCTGGCTCGGTATGGCAAGAGCCCATATTTATACCCACTCTATGGCCTGGGTGAGCTGCCCCAGGGCTTTGCAAGGTGAGAACATGGCTTTTTTCAGTTGACATTACTGGGTAGGACTAAGGGCAAGAATGGAAATTGGAACCATCTTGGGCATTTCTGAAGCACTTCTTACTTTCCCATCTGATTTTCATTTACCTTGATCATCCCTGGGTGATGGGGGCACAGCCCCAGTAATTTAAAATGCAGATTAAAGGAAGGACCAGGTCACCATGAACATGGCTTCCTCAGCTCCTGGTAGCACCAGGACTGAGTCCAGGACCCCAGAATCTTGAGTCAGGGCTTCCCTTGGGGTTGGCTCTTTTCCAGAGAGTCCTTTATTCTGGACTACTGGGCCATTTCTATGTAGAGCTATTCCATGATATCCTCACTAGCCCTTTACAGAATAGAATATTCTGGATAGAGCTTCAGAGAGGAAGGAGCATGCCAAGATGAGCCCTGAGTTCATGTTAGTAACCTTTGGGACAAACAGCTGGATCTGAACTCTGCCGGCTTAGGGCAGCTTTCTCTGTACTTCAGTGATGGGGCGAGCAGAGTGCAGTAGACTTGGTACCCATTCTCCTGAGAGGCAGACATCACAGTCATTTTCCTTGCTACAGATTGAGTGCCATCTATGGGGGGACATACATGCTGAACAAACCTGTGGATGACATAATCATGGAGAATGGCAAGGTGGTGGGAGTGAAGTCTGAGGGAGAGGTAAGCCTGCCTTGTGCATGGGGGTTGCCATGGCAGGGGTAGGATTTGGTTTCCTTCATGGCTTCGTTCTCAGAGAACCTCTCAGCTAGAGTCCGGGGATCCAATACAAGTCTACATAGCCATTCCTGTTGACAAGAGGTATCCTTGAAGAAGCACATGCTATGCCTGTGGTTCTGAAAGCATTCTTATGGAAAGGGTGTCATGTATCCCAGGCTGGCCTCCAACTGTCCATGTAGCTGAGATGACATTGAATTCCTGATCCTTCTGCTTCTACCTCCCCAGTGCTGGGATTACAAGGTGTGTGCCAACATGCCTGGTTGATATGGTGCTAGGGATTGAACCCAGGGCCTTCTGTATGATAGGTAAGCAATCTACTAACTGAGAAATATGCCTAACCTCCCTGAAAGCATCCTTCAGCCTGATGGGGCACATGAGTACTGGGGTAGCTGAGGGAGGAAGACGGTGAGTTTGTGGCTAGCCTGGGCTACACAGACCAGACTGAAAATAAACAAAAACCCCAGCTACAAGAAAAAAACAAAGTGTTCCTGATCACAGTGTCTCAACAGGGCCACCTAGCTGTGTGTGTGAGGGCTTCCCTGAGCTTCAGGGAAGGAAGCATGTACTGTAGGGGACAGGAGGCTCAGCCTACTATCATCCTGAGCAAGGGGTGATCCAACAGGTGCAAAGCCTTCTGGTACCTTCACAGGTGGCCCGCTGTAAGCAGTTGATCTGTGACCCCAGCTACATCCCAGACCGTGTGAGGAAGGCTGGCCAGGTTATTCGCATCATCTGTATCCTTAGCCACCCCATCAAGAGCACCAATGATGCCAATTCCTGTCAAATCATCATCCCCCAGAACCAGGTCAACAGGAAGTCAGGTAGGCCAGGCCCTGAAAGATTCCCTTCTGTGCACTCTTCAGAGTTGCTGTGCCTCTCTCTCCCTACCAGCTTTAGGGTTTCTTGTGCCATCCTGTTACAAAGAACATACCTAGGGATTGGATGGCCTGAACTCTTCCCTTGAACTCCATGAGGGTGACAGTTTGAATGTTACCTGTGTGGGGAGCTGGGGAGGAACAGGTGTGTTATTAGGGCAATCCCTAAGAACCACCTCTTTGTGTGGTCATTTCCTCTGGCACATGTTAACCAAGTTCTTCCTGTGGCCAGACATCTACGTGTGCATGATCTCCTACGCACACAATGTGGCTGCACAGGGCAAGTACATTGCCATTGCCAGTACCACCGTGGAGACTGCAGAGCCGGAAAAGGAGGTTGAGCCTGCATTGGAGCTGCTGGAACCCATTGACCAGAAGTGAGGGACTGAGGCAAACGTGATGGGGCAAGCTAGGTTGAGAGGAAGGGCAAAGTGAGGGACTGAGGCAAACGTGATGGGGCAAGCTAGGTTGAGAGGAAGGGCAAGGCCTGTTGTGAGACTTTTCCCTTACCCTCTCTTGCCTTCCATCTTACCCTCAGGTTTGTGGCTATCAGTGACTTGTATGAACCCATTGACGATGGTTCTGAGAGCCAGGTAAGAAGCCTGTCCCAGCCCTGGCTCTTCCTGCCTACCCTAGGGTTCCTTGCTTGACTCACCTTGACCCCTGGGGTTCTGGCTGTATACAGGTGTTCTGTTCCTGCTCCTATGATGCCACCACACACTTTGAGACCACCTGCAATGACATCAAAGACATCTACAAACGCATGGCCGGCTCAGCATTTGACTTTGAGAACATGAAGCGCAAACAGAATGATGTCTTTGGAGAGGCTGATCAGTGATTGCTGACTCCCCTTTCCCCCAGCCCGTACTGCCCTTGCCCCCATCTGTCTGTCCTCTAGGGCTGGGGAGATGGTATAGCTGGGCATCCCTGTTTCCAGCATCTTCTGCTTCCCCCACCACATTCCCATCAGCCACCTCATTGATTCACTGACCAAATCCTTAACCTTAGTGATGGTTTGGGAAATGGGGATTGGATAGCATCCTCTTTCTTGGCCCTTGTCCTAGTGATAGAGGAGATTCCTCTTCCTCTTCTTGTGTGTCCCCCTCCCCCCAGTTCTGCTCTGTTTGGGAAAGAAGTGGAGGAAAGCTGACTTCTGCCCCCACTGCTCTTACCCCAATGTAGTGGCCTTTGGAGATATCCCCTGCCTCCCCCCACCAACTCTTGCGTGTTGGAGAGAAGGGGCCCTCCCAGCACAAATTGCATTCCCCCCTATAATTTATTCTAATTTATTAACTTTGGCCTATCTGTCTGAGCCCACAGCCTTTCATGCAGCCTGGGGCTGTAGAGTGAGCTGCCCTGGCCCCTCCCAGTCCTAGCAAAGCCTGGGAAGGGAAAGGGCTTAGGTGTGGCCCCCTCTAAGGTTGTTATGTTTTTATTCCTTGTCTTTGTGCTTTGTGTTTTCTGTTACTTGTTGAGAAAAGAAGTATGAGCAAAGCAGGAGGTGGGAAAGTGGATCCAAACCCCAGTGTGCCCTGCCCCATGCCTTTCCTTTAGTGGTGGGAAGCCCTTATCTTGCAAAGTGAATGTGTCCCCTTCCCCAACCTCTAGTGTATTTCACAGAAAACAAAATCTCCCAATAAAACTGTTGAAACCTGAGCCTCAATCTTTAGGTTCATTGCCCAAAGGTTGGGTTGTTAGGCAGGATTTTCAGTCCCAGGACTGGGGCTCTAGTTTAGCTTTTGAAACCAGAACTAGGCTGGGGAAGTGTGGGGGGGGATCTATAGCTGGTGTCAGGGGGCATCAAGTGGCCTCTAGGTGAAAGGGAGAAGGTAGCTAGGTATGGAGGCTTTGGCAAGTTCAAGGCCACTCTGGGATATGTAAGATCACACCTAAAAAAGGCATAGTGGAGCCGGGCTTAGTGGCCTTTAATCCCAGCATTCAGGAGGCAGAGGAAGGTGGATCTCTGAGTTTGCTGCCATCCTGTTCTGCATAGTGAGTTCCAGGCCAGCTGGGGCTACTGAGATACAGGGAGACCCTGTCTCAAAAAGACCCCTCCCCCAAAAAAGAGTGGGGAGAATGAGATGGCTCAGTGAGTAAAGGTGCTGGTCAGGGAACTTTTGAGTTCGATTCCTGGAGACCAGTAAAGCACGAACTGACTCTACAATCTGATCTCAAGCTGCTCTGGGTCATGTGCAACCACCTACAGGCACACACAAACTTTTTTTTTAATTAAAAGGGGAGGGATCAGGAGTGATCACGTCTCAGATATGGAGACTCCAGGGGACCCAGGCCTAGCCTTAGGTGACAGTCAAAAGTCTAAGCAGCCAGTGTCTATGCAAGACCCGAGATGCTGGATCAGGGGGAACAGAGGGCTGGCCTCAGGGAACAAGGACACCTGACTGCTGGGTGTGGCACAAAGCCTGATAAACGTCTAACTGCAAAGCTTGCTTAGCCTTGGGTTCTACAGGAAGACGAAGAGGTCTGGAGGCCCAGCTTGAGGTGGAAGTTAACTTTGAAGATGAGCGGGAAAGTGAGAGACCCAGCTCATTGACTAATGAGAGTAGGCAGAAGGGGCGGGCATGGGGCGGAGCGAGCGCGGGTCACGTGCAGAGCCCTGGCTGTAGGGCGGGGCCGCCGTCTGCACGTTCCCCGGTGGCTGACGTCTCGGGTCAGCTGACTGAGCTGCTGCTGCCGCCAAGACGCGTCCGGGCCCTGTTACTGTCCCTGTCGTCGTCCGCTGTCGCTGTCGCAGCCACTATGGCTCAGTACAAGGGTGCCGCAAGCGAGGCGGGCCGCGCCATGCACCTGATGAAGAAGCGGGAGAAGCAGCGCGAGCAGATGGAGCAGATGAAGCAAAGGATTGCTGAGGTGCGGGCCAGGCCCCAGCGCATCGGAGCATGCGCACCACCTGGGCCCCCTGGCGGCCCTGCGCAATTCGGCTCTGGGAAACGCCGGCTGCGGGATAGGAGCGCCCAGAGGGCGGGCCTCGCGTCCAGGGCGGGACCTTTGCTTGCCCACCTCTGGCGGGTGATGGAAACCAGCCGAGACAGTCGTCTGTAAAATGGGCCCAGCGCGGGGCCATGCCACAGGTTGAGACAGCTAGCTTGTGAAAGCGTCCAGCACGAGGGCGCCACAGTCAATAGTTTTGGTGGCACTTGGCGTGGAGCACGACTCCCTGGCACCTCTCCCTGGCACAGAGCTTGTTCAGATCCCCAGCCTTCAGTCAGGTCTATTACGTGGGTCCACTGCATACCAGGAAGAGCTCTCTTCCTCTGGAGAGACCCAAGAGTACGCCACTGACGCTGCTAGTGGGCTCTTGGGGCATCAGGAGTGTGAAACGAGGAGCCCTGAGCATGATCCTTTGGGCGACACTCTTGAGAAAAGCAAGGCCTTAGCACCCCAGGCGAGAGCAGGCCCTCTAGGAAGTGGGAAGCCAGGTCCAAAAGGCATCATCTACTTGCAGTCATGATTGGATGACACCTAGTCTTCCGCCTGTGGCCCCGTTGTCGCAGTGGCAAGCTGGACGTACACGTTTGGAGGGCCTGGTCAGAGAGGGACCTATGTGGCACCTATTAGGATGGGGCTGGGCTGAAGGGAGGAAGCCTCTGGAAAGCTGTTGAAAGCATCTTGGGCCAGAAAGGAAAAAAGTTGCTCAGGGAGGGTCTGGGCCTTTTGACCCCCTTCTTTTCTCCTTTGTCCTCTCCTGACATCCCACCGCTTAGGTCACAGGAGCTTCAGCTTAAAGGCTGGGTAGGAAAAGGCTGAAGGTGAGTAGGGCTGGTGGCTCCAGGCTACTGAGGAGGCACTGGTCCCCAGCAGGAAGCCTGAGGGGGCAAGAGCAGTGCAGGGATTTGAGGGAAACTACCCTGCTCGGTTCCCTTAGCCCTCTCCGCTTTGTGGACCCATTCCCCTTCCCAGAAGGGGAAGTGGTGTGTCTTTTTCTAAGACATCATAATACATCCAGGAGCAAATATAGAACTAGAACCCAGGACAACCCAATAGCCACTGTCACTATTACAGTGGAGAGCTGGGTGGCCCTCACTGGTGTGCCCCTCCCCTGCAGGAGAACATAATGAAATCCAATATCGACAAGAAGTTCTCGGCGCATTATGATGCCGTGGAGGCGGAGCTCAAATCCAGTACCGTGGGTGAGCAGGGCACACATACCACCCTCTTCCAGACACAGGGACTGTTCCTTTGCTGGCCCTGAATGACCAGCCTTTCCCCTCATGTCCCATTACCTGACAGGTCTGGTGACTCTGAATGACATGAAGGCCAAGCAGGAGGCACTGGTGAAGGAGAGGGAGAAGCAGCTGGCCAAGAAGGAGCAGTCGAAGGAGCTCCAGCTGTGGGTCCCCCATCCTCTTAGTTGTAGCCCTCCCCTCAGGGTACAACTAGTGCTTGAGGACTCCTGGGGGTGCCTCAGGCTGTTCCTGTGCCATAGGGAGACCCTATTTCCTACTTTGGGAACAGTTGTGGTACCTAGTTTAGTTCCACATTGGTTCTCACCTTCCAGGTTCATCTTTCTGTTCCTCTGGAAAGGTGCTGAGTCCTTTTCAAGCCTTTTTTTACTGGGTGCCTGAATGGCCTATATTGTCCCTATTCCTCTGTGTCCCATGACCCTTGTGTCTTTTATGCTTGCTGTGTCATTAGGAGAACCTTGCCCATGTGCTTAAAGTGAACTAGGGCAATAGGAGCCCTCTGGGGTGCTGGGGTGATCCAGCGTGTGCTGAGTGGACCCCACCCACACTAGGCCCACAGTGGCTCTGGGTCAGGGAAGGGGCCTCAGGGCAGGAGTGTGGGGCATGATGGCCACCCGTGCCTTGGTAGGAAGCTAGAGAAGCTTCGAGAGAAGGAGCGCAAGAAGGAGGCGAAGCGGAAGATCTCTAGCCTGTCCTTCACCTTGGAGGAAGAAGAGGAGGGAGGTGAAGAGGAGGAAGAGGTGGCCATGTATGAGGAGGAGCTGGAGAGGGAAGGTGAGGGCACTGCCTGCCAGAGCTCTGTCCTGGCATTTGGGCTGGAGAAGGAAGAAGCACACCCACTGGCTAGCCTCAGTTGCTCACAGATCTCATGGTCCCCAGTCTCGTACAGGCAGGAGAATACAGAGCCTAGGTGGCAACAGTTTTTAAAGCTAAATATAGGGTTCTCTGTCAGCAGCTGATTGAGTCAGAGCTGAGCCAACTACCTCTGTCCAGGAACCACCAGTGTAAGAAGTTATGTTGGAGCACTGCTGGCGCCTGGCCTACAAGGATCCAGAAGCTGTCCTTTGGAGCACATAGGATAGACTAAGGAAGGGAGAAGATAGTCTGAATCAGGCTTACTTGCTGGTACTTAACTGAAACAGTGGGAATGTTCAAGTCTACACTGCCAGATACGTTAATGGCTTGCCACAGGTGGCCACTGACCACTGACTTGTTAATTCTCGTTGATGACTTTGATCTGAAGTTAACATGGCTGCTGAAATCCAGCACCTACTAGGTATAGCTCTGTACTGCTTTGTGCCTGGCCAAGCCACACAGGTCAGTATGTGCTCAGGATGCTCAAAAGTTGCTGTTCCCCCTGGAACCTAGGGGACTAGATCAAAGTGAAGGAAAAGAGCCACAAGGGGATAGTTGGCTTGGCCTTAAGGCTGAGAATTTCATTAGTTGCAGATATGGGAGGAGGTGGGAAGAGTAGATAAATGAAAGATGCATGGAAACAGTATGCATTTGAGAACTTGGAATAAGTTATGTCACAACTGTCAGCTATGCATGCCCCTCCTGCCACTGACATTTCGGTTTTTTTTTTTGTGTGTATGAGTGCATTGCCTGCATGTGTGTAAGTGCACCCATGTCATGCAGTGCCCTCAGAGGTCAGAAAAGGGCATTGGATCCCCTGGAACTGGAGTTATGGACAGTTGTGAGCTACCATGTGGGTGCCGGGACCCGAATCCAGGTCTTCTGCAAGAACAGCCAGTACTCTTAACCTCTGAGCCATCTCTCCAGACCCAATTTTTTATTTCTTTTATTGAGATAGGGTCTCATATAGTCAAAGCTGGCCTTGAACTGCTGATCCCCCTGCTTTTCCTCCCAATGCTGAGATTATAAGTGTGTACTACCAGGCTGGGCCGTGCCACTCTAATTTTAGCAGTACATTTCATTTAACCCAGCTGTATCCAAAATAATGCCATTACAATTTGTTGGGCTAGATATAATTTGAGTGTCCAGTTCTCATGACTATATGTGGCAAGAGGTGTTTTTAATTTAAAAAAAATTTTTTTTTGGAGATGGCCTCACATAGCCCAGACTGGCCTTGAACTCGATTTGTAACTGAGAGTGAACTTGAACTACCAATCCTCCTGCCTCTGCCTCTGGAGGTGTTCTAGATTGCACAGACAGACCAGTGGAAAGGTTGTCAACTTCACTGTGTATCACTGGGATATTTCCTTTCAGATAGTCTTATTATATATCTTAGGCCAGCCTCCAAATCTCAGTCCTCTTGCCTCAGCCCTGAGTTCTAGGATTACACCTAGTTTATTGGAGCTTTTAGAAAGCACTGTTTGGTAGGTTTTTCCCTACGCTCCAGAGCTTTCATTTTAGGGGGGCCCAGCAATAGGACCCTGGTATCTGTTTTTCAGTTTATGCTTGTCATCTAGGTCAGTAGTTCTTTTTTTTTTCCTTGTAGGTTAGTAGTTCTTAAAGATTACTCTAGAGACCCTAGAGATCTGAGAGACCCTTATAGGGGTCCGTGAGATTAAAATCATTTTCAGGGCAGACATGGTGCTGAACACCTTTAGTTCTAGCACTCAGGAAGCAGAGGCAGATGGCTCTTGTCACTTTAAGGCCAGGGTGGTCTACGTGGCAAGTTCCAGGTCTGGCAAAGCTACATACAGAGACTGTCTAAAAAATATGCATTTTTAGAAAAATGCTAAGATGTTCTTTGTCTTCTTTTGCTCTAGAGATCACCACAAAGAAAAGGAAACTGGGCAAGAACCCTGATGTGGACACAAGCTTCTTGCCTGACCGAGACAGGGAGGTAAAAGCTGCCTGGCCTTGGCATATCCTTTGGTGCTGACTATGACCTTGGCCGTGGCAGACACTCTGGCTCAGGAAGGACCTGCTGCTGCCCCTAGAATAGCCCGGGGACTCATTCTTTGTCCATTTTCTCTCCCAGGAAGAAGAAAATCGGCTCAGGGAAGAGCTGCGTCAGGAATGGGAAGCCAAGCAGGAGAAGATCAAGAGTGAGTGCTCTAGCCAGGTGTGGGGTGTGTGCCTGTCATCCCAGCAGTCAGGAGACTGAGGCAGGAGGATCAAGAGTTCAAGGCCAGCCTTGGAAACATAACAAACTCAAGGCCAGCCTAGGCTGCATGAGTCCAAAAACAAAAAAGGTGGGGGTACGGTTTTGCTGGGGATGTGGCTCATGCTCATTTGGTAGAGTGCTTACCTAGCAAACACAAAGCCCTGGGTTCCATCTCTAGCACTATAAATTGGGCATGGTTGTGCATTCTTGTAAGCGCAGCACATGGAAGGTAGAGGCCAGAGGATCAGAAATTCAGTTAAGGTTATCCTCAGCTACATAGCTAGTTTGAGGCTACCCTGGGCTGCATGAGTACCTGTCTCAAAAAGTAAAAACAAAAGACAAAAGTAAACAAAAAAGAGTCAGTGCTAGCAGAGTTGGGTATGCATGGTCCAGTGCTGGAGCACTGAGCAATGAGGGCTGAGGCCCAAGCAGATCTCCTGCTCATAGTCACCTTGGCCATCCACCCCAACGGAGCTCTCAGCATGTGGATCTGGAGACCATGAGGCACCTCTGTTTTGTAGGCGAAGAGATTGAAATCACCTTCAGTTACTGGGATGGCTCTGGACACCGGCGTACAGTTAAGGTAGGTATTGGGAGGATTCCTTTAGCTTGGGTTTGGTGAAAAGGAGCTGAGTCATGACTTGGGAAGCCCCTGGGGATCCTCAGGTGAACAGTGGGAAGGCAGGCCTTCAGACCTTTTCCTTGAGAGTGCTTCTCCAAGATACAGTCTTTACTTCCCAATTCCCTGGTTTCATGTATGCTGGCTCTTGGGCCACTTCTACAGATGAAAAAGGGCAACACAATGCAGCAGTTCCTACAGAAGGCACTTGAGATTCTGCGCAAAGATTTCAGTGAACTCAGGTGAGTGCAGTGTGTGCAGTGCAGCTTGCCTGTGTTGTGTATCTGTGAAGAGCTTGCCTTCCCAACCTGGCTACCAGACACCCTAATGACTGCTCCAAGAATGGAGGGAGAATGCTGTCCTGGGCATTGTGCTCCTTAGAGAAGAGAGCTTAGGTGGGTGGGACTCCCATCCCCCTATTCCAGGTTCAGTAAACCACACAACTTGCCGTAAAGCATTGTGGCCACCACTTCCCGGGCCCTTGTACCAGCTCTGTTGACTGCTGGTTGATCACCCCCTCCTGTCTCTCTCCCTCAGGTCAGCAGGGGTGGAGCAGCTCATGTACATCAAGGAGGACTTAATTATTCCCCACGTGAGTCCTTTCAGCCCTAGGTCATGCACACTATGGCTTAGTAGGAAAGTCCCCACATTGTCGTGCACTCTTCCAAGGGCTGGTAGACACAGTGGTGCCTGCTTCCAGCCTGCAGGTAGTAGTGCAGTGGGTAGTGGGTGCTAAAGCCCAAGATGAGTCATTTAGCCACCCTTTTCTGTCCTCTGCTCCTAGCATCACAGCTTCTATGACTTCATCGTCACAAAGGCGCGAGGAAAGAGTGGTAAGTGCTTCTGGCCTAGTCTCCTTCAGCTTGTCCCCAGTATGTTGGGAAGAACAGCAACATGACCTCGGGATGACTGCTTCTCCCCTGCAGGGCCACTCTTCAACTTCGATGTTCATGATGACGTGCGGCTGCTCAGCGATGCCACTGTGGAGAAGGATGAGGTATGATGGTGCCAGGATACTGGGCAGGCAAAGGTGCCTTGTCAGAGCAGGTGTCTCTGGAAAGGAGAAGTCACAGGAAAGCAAGATTGGGTAGGGTGGCCCTGAATAAGAGCCTTCAAGGCCAGGTATGGTGGTACATGCCTCTTAATCTCAGCACTCGGGAGTCAGAGGCAGACAGATCTCTGTGAGTTTGAGGCCAGCCTGGTCTACATAGCTATTTCCAGGCCAGCCTACTTAGTAAGACTCTCTCAAAAACAAAACAAAATTATAAAATCCCCAAACCAAAAACTGAATACCAGCCTTTGTTTGTCAGTCCCATGCAGGCAAAGTGGTGCTGAGGAGCTGGTATGAGAAGAACAAGCACATCTTTCCTGCCAGTCGCTGGGAGCCCTATGACCCAGAGAAGAAATGGGACAAGTACACGGTGAGGGGGCAAGGAAGGTAGTAAGGCCAGGCCCTGGGCTGCTCCTTCCTGGTGGCCCTGTTGCTGAACTGGGCAAGTCAAAGCATGGGGGTGGCAGTTGGCTCAGCTCTCAGTGGCTGCAGCCTGTTGCTAGAGAACCAGAGGTGACTAATCTGGCATGGCGGCACATACCTGTAAGCCCAGCCACCACCCATGCCCATACACAAAGAATCAGAGATGCAACATGCCAGCCTGTCCCTGCTTATCTCTGACTTCTAGTCCTCATCCCCTGTGCCCTCCTTTTCTTCACACCAGATTCGGTGAGCATCCAGGAGGGGCCGAGACCTTGGCTCTTCCCAGCAAGCCCCCGTGTCTCCAAGCCTCCATGTCTCCAGGGCTCCAGGTGCCCGTTTCCCTGGGATCATGGCAGAGTGCACTGGAAGGATGGTAGCCGCTTGTCCCCTGGCCCTGATCTCGCATTACTGCTTTTTTCTTTTAAATAAAAAAAGTGCACATGTCAGAGTTGGAGTGCGTGCATTATAAGAAATTGTATTTGATTTTAAAGCATTTTTGTGTTGTTGGTATATGTGCGGGGGTATATGCACACTTGTATACACACGCATATGGAAAGGACAACCCTGGCTATCACTCTCAGGCACTGTACAACTTTTTAAAAATTTTTTTGGAAAAGGATCTCTCACTGGCCTGGAACTTGCCAAATAGACTATGCTGACAGGTCAGTGAGCCCCAAGGATCCACCTGTCTATGCCTCCCTAGTGCTGGAATTACAAACATATACACAAATGGCTGGGCTTTTTATATGGATTCTGGGATTGAACTCATGCCCTCATGCTTGTAAGGCAAACACTTTACCAATTGACCTATCTCCCCAGCCCTAAAACACTTTTGTTGAGGTAAAAGGTACATACAATTTTGATCATTTTTCCAGGTATGTAGTATGCACCTGTACTCCCAGCCCTTGGAAGGCAGAGTCAGGAGGATCATGAGTTTGAGGTCAGCCTGGATTACAAAGTAAGTTCCAGATCAGCCTGGGCTATAGAATAAAACCCTGTTTCTACCCCTTCCTCCACACATACACACAAAAGGATTCCTCATTTCAGCCATTCATTTTAAACTATAATTCAGTGGCATTTGGTCTACTCACAATGCCATGCAACCATTACCTTCACCTACTTCCATGACATTTTCATCATCTTAAGGACCCTGTGGCCATTTAGCATTCATTCCCCATATTCTCAGGCCTAGTTCCTGGCAAATTTTAATCTTTCTCTAGATTGGCTTCTTCTGGACATTTCATATGTCTAGAACCAGAAGGGCATGTGGTGGGAACAAATCTGAAGGGAAAAGGAGGGTTTTCTAAGGGAAGGCCCAGCTGTCCTCATGGCCAGCTCTACCCTCCCCAGTGCATTTAGGCAGTCCTGTCATTCTTTTTTTGTCTTCTTAAGACGGTCTCCCTGTAGCCCCAGCTGGTCTGGAACTTGCTATGTAGACCAGGCTGGCCTCCAGCTCACCAAGATCTGCCTGCCTCTGCCTCCCAAGTGCTGGGACTAAAGGCATGCGCCACCATGCCCAGCATGTGCTGTCATTCTTTACTGTGGGAACTCCTCCTCAGGCTGGGACTGGGCTCTGGAATGGGAGGGGAGGTGTCTTCCTGGATATCTCTTCTGTAGGGACCCTGGCCATCCTACCCCTCCTAGCTCCTCTCCCCAGTCCTAGCACTGCATGGGACTGTCTACCTACCATACATGCAGCCACTGCTCACCTGTCCAACCTTCACCTACCTGCTCATTCTGCATGGGGGCTGGTCACTGTCACAGTCCCAGAGACAGGATCCAATTGTGGGAGGGGAGTTGCACCTGAGGCCCTAGTACCAGTGGCTCTGCCATCTCAACAGTCAGCCCTCCCAGCTCCCCTTGTGTAAGCTGAAACAGGCAGTCTGGCTTGGAGGCTGGAGAAGGTGAACTGAGATTCCCTCCCTTGTCTGAAGTCAGGTGCTTGCCTGGGCCATAGGCAGTACCTCCCCTTCCTGGCAGATGTGAATATCTGATGGTGGTATGTAGTGAGCTTTGCTGTGGCCTGCCAGCTAGGAACAGTCAGGTACATGGCCCTGTGTCTGTGGTGGAGACATCTGGGGTTACTTGGAGGAGAGAGGAGAGGAGAGTAAGTTAGGGCACCTTGGGGGCACAGTGAAGGTATTAGCTAGACCTCGCTCTACACTCCAGACATGGGACACAAGTCTGAAGACTTAATATTGGCTTCCTGGGAACTCTGGATGGGTTTGTCTGGTCTAACGTCAACCTCAATCTGCCCTTTGAAAAGCCATCAGAAAAGCAGTGCCCCCCCCCGGAGAAAAGTCCCCTCTCAGCTATCTCTCATTCACTTGTCAGTGTCTCAGATCCCCTCTCTGCAGCCCCCAGGTGCTCTGAGCTCCACATTTTATGGAGCTGAAGCCCTAAGGGACTGTGACCCTGGCTGGGTCATACGTAGATAAGAGCCACCTCCTGCCGTGTGTCTTCTAGAGAAAAAAATTTTGGGGGGGGGGTGGGGTTGAGATGGTGAGCTCCAAGATCTGCCTGCCCCTACCTCCCTAGTGTCACTTAAAGGTGTGTGCCACCACACTGGGCCTGAGAAAATCTTGATGACCAATCCTGAATCTTTAGAGGGGAGGATCTATTTTCTGGAAACAGCCCTAAGACCCTGGGGAGCCCTTTGGGATTAAGACCAAAAGGACAAAGGGACTGTCAGGGAAGAAGAGGCCACATCTTGGTGGCCAGTGAAGGTACAGAAGGCTGTTCCATGGTGGACATCAGCACAGAAGCCCTTTGTCTGAAGTGTGGGGCTGTGTTAGTTACTTTCCTTGTTGGCACAGCAAAATCACAAAAGCAGCTGGTTAATTTTCGTTACCTTGACACAAACTAGACTCACCTGGGAAGAAGGAGCCTCAGCTGATGAATTTCCCCTATGAGACTGACCTGTGAGAATGTCTGTGAGACATTTTCTTAACTTTCAATTGATGCAAGAGGGCCCAGTCTACTGTGGGCAGTGCCATCCTTGGGCAAGTGGACCTGGGCTATATAAGAAAGCTGAGTTGGGCGTGGTGGTGCACACCTTTAATCCCAGCACTCAGGAGGCAGAGGCAGGCGAATCTCTGTGAGTTCAAGACCAGCCCGGTCTACATAATGAATTCCAGGTCAGCTGGGACTATATGTCTCAAAAAGACCGAAAAAAAAAAAGAAGAAAGAAAGAAAGATAGCTGAGCCGGGCATGGTAGCACAATCCTTTAATCCCAGCACTTGGGAGGCAGAGGCAGCCTGGTGTACATAGTTCCAAGCCAGCTGAGGCTACCAGAGACCCTGTTGAAGGAGAGGGAGAAGGGAAAGGGGAGAGGGAGGAAAGGGAGAGGGAGGAAGAAAGGAAGGAAAAAAGCAAGAAAGCTGAGCAAGTCGTTAGTAGCCTCTGCTTCAGTTCCTGATTCCAGGGTCTTGCCTTGACTTTCCTAGATAATAGACTATGATGTGGAAGTGTATGCCAACTAAACCATTTCCTCCACAAGCTGCTTTTGGTCATAGTGTTTATCACAGCAACAAAAAGTAACTAGAACAGGAGCTTAAGGAAGAAAGGGTTTATTTTGCCCCAGAATATGAAGATGTGGTCCATCATGGTAGGGAACTGATCATACTGCATCCACAGTCAGGAAGCAGGGAGAGGTGAATACTGAGCTCATTTCTTCCTTTTTATTCAGTTTGGGACCCTGCCTCATGGGATGCTGTCACTCACAATCAGAGTGGGGTCTTCCCAAGTCAGTTAACCCAATCTAGAAACTCCCACACAGACATGACCAGAGGTTGGTCTCCTAGTGAGTCTAAATCCTGTCAAGTGCACAATCAGCACTAACCATCGTAGGGGCCAGATACTTAGATCCTTGTGTGGCCACTGGGGTTTAGCTGTCTCATCGGCCTCACTTTTGGAGGCTGGTGCTGCCTTGAGGAGGATTGATTAGGTATAACCTGGGTTCTGAAGCCCTTGGCTGCAAAGAGAAGGGGGAGTCTGGTAACAGATGCTATTCAATGTTCTGGAAGTAGGTAAGGTCACACAGGAGCATGGAAGGGGTGGGCTGTACACAATGAGAAAGAAAGGCTGTTGGTCCTATACTTACCCAGGCTTCATTCGTCTGCTTCCATTTACTTTCTTTTTCTTTCTTTCTTTCTTTCTTTTTTTTTTTTGGAGCTGAGGACCAGGGGAGCAACCCAGTAAGCAGCAGTCCTCCATGGCCTGTGCGTCAGCTCCCGCCTCCAGGTTCCTGCCCTGAGTTCCTACCTTGGGCTCCCTGATGAATTGTGACCCCAGAGATGTAAACCAAATAAACCTTTTCCACCTCAAGTTGGTATTGGTTAGTATTTTGTCACAGCAATGGAGACACAAAGTAGAATACTTGGCAAGTGTTCTACCACTAAGCTATACTCCCCAGATCCATAAATGTATTCATTTATTTAGTGCTAGTTCTTTTTTTTCTTTAAGGCAGGGTAGCCCAGGCTGGCCTTAAACCTGTGGCAATCCTCCTATCTTACCTTCCCCAGTAATAGGATTACAAATGTGCACCACTGCACTTACTTAGCCTTAGTGTGCTTTTAATTTATATTTCTTTTTCATGTTTAAAAATCTCCTCCTCCTCTTCCTCCTCCTCCTCCTAATGACAGAGTCTCTTGTAGTCCAGACTGGCCTCAATCTCATATAGCCAAGGCTGTCCTTAAACTTCTGATCCTCCTGCTTCAGCCTTCCAAGTGTTGGGATTACAAACCTAAAACACCACATGCTTCTTTTCCCAGCTGTTTATTCCTGCATTTGCCCATTAGTTGTATTGGTGATCTTTTTGTTTTATTTTTATTTTGTTTATTTACTTATTTGAAACAGGGTCTCATGTAACCTATGCTGGCCTCAAACTCTTTATGTAGCTGAAGCTGGCCTTGAACTTCTGATCCTCCTGCTTCCACTTCCCAAGTGCTGGGACTACAGACATGCACCATTCCCAGCTTTGGTGAGCTTTCTTTTTCTTTTTCTTTTTTTTTTTTTTTTTTTTTTTTTTTTTTTTTTAAAAAAAAAAAAAAAAAAAAAAAAGAGGACGATAAATCTTTCACTGTGATATATCAAAATAAATTCTAGGCAGGTGCTCTACCACTGAGCCACACCCCTGCCCATCAGTGGGGGATTCTAGGCAGGTGCTCTACCACTGAGCCACACCCCTGCCCATCAGTGGGGGATTCTAGGCAGGTGCTCTACCACTGAGCCACACCCCTGCCCATCAGTGGGGGATTCTAGGCAGGTGCTCTACCACTGAGCCACACCCCTGCCCATCAGTGGGGGATTCTAGGCAGGTGCTCTACCACTGAGCCACACCCCTGCCCATCAGTGGGGGATTCTAGGCAGGTGCTCTACCACTGAGCCACACCCCTGCCCATCAGTGGGGGATTCTAGGCAGGTGCTCTACCACTGAGCCACACCCC